TTTTTTGTATTTATTAATATATAGTATATATAATAAATTATCTAAAACTATTTATTAAGCGAAGAATTTTACTTATTGTAATTTAATGTTAAATTAACTAAATTAATTTAATACATTTAGATATTTACTTGGAATTTATTACTAGATGTTTTAAAACTAATCCTTCCTCAGAACTATACATACCTAATCAAAAATTTTAATGATATGCCCCGTATCAAACACAAGAGAACTTTGAAGTCCTAAATTTTGAGTTAGATATTTTTGTAGATGTTGGTAGTAAAGAGGCAGCATCCAAATGAATTGCAGAATTCCAATCTTATTCAAAAACAATGATGCCTCAAACAAGAGGCTATAACATTAAAGGAAATTGTGTTCTTTTTTGAGAAAACGACACTGTCTTCATAGTCATGAGGTGAAAAAAAATAAGGAAAAACACTACAGTAAAGCGTTTACAATTACTTCAGACACGAGATGTAGGCTGTAATGCTACTATTCACATATGACTAGAGCGTTATCGACTTCTGCTTACCCATCCATTAGAAGTTAATATAAGGTATATGCATAATCATATGATCAACTCAGCAAAGTCGCTAAGTTTTCGACATGTTAACGAAGAAGTTCGTGAAGAACTCCTCAACCTTTTCAAAGATGGTCATTCCCCGCTTCAGCACTATATGTTTATCAAGATGAACTTCACCTTAGAGCTAATGATGAATAGGAATTGATTGAACTTCTTGTAGATTGATCGATAAATCCAGACTATGACTATACCGCAAAGCTTTTTTAAGAATATCGTAAGGTCATGCTTGGAAGTCGCAATGGTGAATCAATGTTTGAACGACTAGCAGAAGTCGTTAAAAATTATAATGATTCAGATCAGGGAAAGGCCATTTTACAAGCATATGATACACGCATAGGAAAAGCATTTATCCTTTGTATTGTGACCAATCTCATGAGCCGAGTGCATGAAAAAGTTTTCTAAGCGGGAGAACTTTGTTATGTTGATGCATCAGCTTCATTTGAACTGTTAAACACTTCAATCACCCTTCTTTATACTAGTTGTACAGTTGGAGCTCTTCCTCTTGGGTTGTTTATCACGTCAGATGAGCTTGAAGTTACTTTGGAAAGAGCAGTATTTAATTTCTTATTATTATTGAATAATCTAGTATATATAAAAAAAATATGGTAAATTAATTTATATTTGTTATTTATTGATTAAACCTAGATTAATATGCTAAAAATAATACTTTCTTCATATGCGTTTTATGGCTGTGGACCACAAACAGGACCCATATTATTTCTTACAGATGATTCAAGTGCAGAGAGAAATGCCCTGGAGCTATGTTATCCGAAAGGGTTCTGCCTTTTATGTACGTTTCATATCCTACAGTCATTTTGAAGATGGCTACATAATATGAAACATCATATCAGAAAAGAAGATCGTGCATCTATTATGGTGAAAATGAAGAAAATTATTTATGCTGCTTCGAGTGTGAAAATGGATACATGCTATTATGAATTCAAACAAGAATTCT